AGGAATGCCTATCATGGTCAGCAACTGTGGGACTGTAGTTGGTGGAAAACCATTTGGGGAAGGAGGAAATACCTTTGTGATCCACCTATTTTTCAATCTGACCCTTTCCTTGGATATTCAATCAACTGATATAGACAAGACAGAGACAAAGCTCCAAGAGGTGTAACCTCCTTCCCCAAGGACCCCTGGAGGAACAGAGAGACTTAAGTTATTGCAGGGGTCATGAACAACATCAGGTCAATCCATCCATTTTGAAAAGGTGATGGTGAGGGCATGGAAGGAAGGGTAAAATAAATCTGAGATCTACACCAGGGATGGCAGAGCCGTTCCTGTGGTGTCCTGGCCACCTCGGCTATCCCTAGGTTCCCTTGATTTGCACAAGGCAACACCATGTATTTGTTGAATGGATGTCTAACATACTTCAAATAGATTTTAGATGTTTATGATTAAGATTCAATTTTAGAGCACAAGTTGTAATTTCAAATTTAATAGAACAGAGGGAAGAAAAGAGAAAGAGGACAGAGATAGACCAAAGACAGAGAGAGGTACTCTGAGTGCATTTAAAAACAAACAGAACCCTTGGGCAGATGATGTTGAATCATGTTCTTTCTTCTCTAGGAAGTCTGTTCTCAGTACTGGGAGGAAGGAAAGCAAACATATGGAGACATAGAAGTTCATATGAAGGACACCAATAAATCTTCAGCCTATACCATCCGTGCATTTGAACTGAGACATTCCAAGGTATACAAACAATTTCAGGAGTACGTATCTTTGGGGTAATTGATCTGGTTGAAAAACTAATATAAACCATTCTATGAACACAAAGCAACTCTCTCTATAATGTTCTCAGAATAAAAATTTTAAATGATTTAAATGAAAGTAACTGTGAGGAAAACATGACTATCAACTTATCAGATGCGCTGAGCTTCACTCGAGTTTATGTTCCCTTCCCTTCTGGTTTTAGAGGAAAGATCCACAAACTGTGTACCAGTACCAATTCAATAACTGGAATGGGGAAGAGCTGCCCGTGGAGCCGAAAGAATTAATCTTAATGATTCAGAATCTCAAACAGAAACTTCCCAAGAAGAATTCCACTGAAGGGAATAAGTTTCACAGGAATGTGCCTCTCCTCATTCACTGCAGGTGGGTGGGATGCGCTCTAAAAATCAGCATCCTTCTTGACCTCTTGGTTTGCACCTTCTGTTAAATTCTATTTCTCCTAACAGATGAAAATGCATGACTGTAGTGGAAGCCTCTTAGGGAGTCGGGCACTCTCTCCCACAGCATAACTATTATAGAAATACAGTAGAAATAATGATATTTCAGTGCAATGTTGTTAGGATGTGAACCTGAAATGTCACATGTCCTGAATGAATGAATGAATGGAAGGATGCAAGGACAGACGGATGGATGGATGTTGCATTTTATTTCTGCCTAAGTGCATTGAGCCGTGCTATTAGGTGTCAGTAAAATCCAGAGGACTGAATGCTTTGCCTCCAATAAACATATCTTAAGCTATTTATTAAACTGAAATCTCAATGTTTAGCAGCTTCGATTTGAAACCCATCACCTGACTCTAAATGCACCCCAAAGGCAAAGATTTTAATAATATCCATAATAATACTTGATTTGATTAACTTCTGTTATGCAGACCCTTACTTTCATCTGTGATAGATATCCACCTTAAATAAGAGATATTGAAAGAAGGGTGTGTGATATAAAATGTTTGCATAAAAAATGGTAAAGTAAATTAGAAATGAAAAATAGTAAAGTAAAATGAGAAATGTAAATCTAGCAAAGGGCTTTTAGAATTTTTGAGAAACCTTCATTATTATTATTAGAATTGTATATGCTATCATCAGGACCTTAGACAGATATTACTTTTTGGCATTTATTTGAGTTTTCAAAGGTAAAACTTACATGGAAAGAAAAATAAGAAGGGAAGTTTAGGCTTTAAAACTGTATGTGTTTCTTAGGGAATGGCTGAATACCTACTATATGTTCCTTGTTATGTACAATAAATAAAATTCTGCTATTAACATATTCTTTAAAATGAATTTTTATTATAATCTAACATACCTCTCACAGTTTGGTAAGTAATTTGGTTGCCCTCTTTTTAATAAATAACTTCACTAGGTATCATTTTTCTATCAGTGCAGAAGTGTTAACATTTGTAAAAAGCACTGGAGAGGCAGAAGAGAGGAGAAAAAGCATGTGGTTTAGTAATTTACAAAATATCAGGTCCAGTATTTCTGGTTTCATCAGTTTCTAGCCATGACTTTATCTTCCCTAAATCTCAGTATCCTCATCTGTCTGGCGGATATTATGATATTTGTCTTAACAACTTCAGATGTAAATTAAAGTTCATTATAATTGGTAAAGTACTAATAAAAGAAAGTATATTTTTCAAGCTTATGACAAATATTTTTTAAACTAAATGACTATTATATTCCCAAATTGAAAAAGTTTGCATAAAACATGCACTTAGCAGAAATGCTTTGCTCTTAAGAGATTGGAATAGAACAATTACAGTGAACATGAAGTGGAAGAATGTATTCTTGTCTCTCTCTTTCAATTTTTATTCCAATGTCACTTTCTCCATATAATATAGAATTTTCTTTTAATCTATTCTTTCTTTTTTAGAGATGGATCTCAGCAAACAGGAATATTTTGTGCTTTGTTAAATCTCTTGGAAAGTGCAGAAACAGAAGAAGTGATAGATGTTTTTCAAGCAGTAAAATCTCTACGCAAAGCTAGGCCGGGAATGGTTCCCACATTTGTAAGTATAGCTCATCATTGCTTTTAACATGTTTTGCATTTTTATTTTGACGATTTCTTCTCTCTCCTCCCCCTCTTCTGATCCTCTCCTTTCCATTACTTCTTTTCTATTTACTTTTCTAGTCTTCTCTTTTAAATTCCATTTTACATGGTAATTCATATTGAATTATTATTAGTCTGAATAAGAGACCTAATTGGAGTTTGCCAACACTTTGTGGTGGTGGTTCTTGCAGAACATGTTTTGAAAAGCTCATAGATTCCCTCAGTTCCCCCACCTTTAATCCTGTATCCATTTGTGTTGCTGTGTAGCAAACCACCCCAAAATTTAGAATCTGAAAAAAAATAACGTTTATTTTAATTCAATAATATGTTTGACCAGCTGAAGATTTCTGCTGATCACATTAGGCTTAGCCAACCTGGACCAGGCTCACGGATATGTGTGCTGTCACTGATGTGTCCACTGCAATTTGGCTTTGTCCAAAAGGACCTTGACTGCCACTAGACTGGCAGTTGGCTGGCATTTAGCTGTGGCAATAGGGATGAGTGGATCCCCTGTCTCTCCTCATCCAGAAGCCTAGCCCGACACATTCCCATAAAGGCAGCAGGGTTCATAGGGGCAGAGTAAGACCCCTTGGATCCCAGGCTTGGGACTGGAACCCATGCCTTCCTCTGCATTTTATTATCTGAACAAGTCACAAGGCCAGCTCAGGTGTAGGGCATGGGGTCATAGACTCAACCTTTGTCCAAAGGGCCTGCAAAGTCACCTTGCAAAGAGGTGTGGATACAGAGAGGAGAATGAGTGACATTGTCATAATCAATCTAAGCTGTGTCCTCTGTAAGTGGTAGTGACCACAGATGATGGTCTGGGAATTAGTAGCAAAGTAAACTTAACTACTCACTCAAATATAGGCAGCTTTTACTTATGTATGACCTTGAGCTTGCATGTATTGATGTTAAAAGTATATTGAGTGCCTGCTACGTGTTTTGCCATTAAGAGACTCATTGTTTAGTATGAGGAAAAGGCAGACATTTATTAAACAATGTAGTAAGTGAAATGACAGAGAAATTATCAGAAGAATATGAATGAGGGCACTGAATTTAACCCAAGGGGATCAGATTGGCTTCCTGAAGCAGGTGACTCCTGATCTGATGCTAAATGATATGTAGGCATGAACCAAGAGGGTGGGTACCAAAAATGGCTTCCTTTTTGCAAAAGCTTAGGAATGAGACACCCCACACGGCCTGCAAGGGGGCCAAACACTAGTCTGGTGTGGCTACAAGGTAAATTCTGAAGATTGCCCTGCAGTCAGTCCTTTAGAACTGTAAGGAGGGTGAACCATTTAAAATGTTCTTTTTTATGAAAACACATGAGAATTGTTTTCTGATACCCAGGTCATCCCCAAGTAAATGATTAAGTCTTGCTAATTTTCATCTGATGTAAAAATAATGACATAAACCTCTTTTATGTAATTCCTCCCTTCTTCCCTTTATTAGGAGCAATATCAATTCCTGTATGACATCATTGCTAGCACCTGTCCTGCCCAGAATGGGCAGGTGAAGAAAAACAACCAACAAGAAGATAAAATTGAATTTGATAATGAAGTGGACAAAGCAAAGCAGGATGCTAACTGTGTGAGTCCACCTGGTGCCCTGGATAAGACCCCTGAAGGAAATAAAGAAGATGAAAGTTCTAAACCCGCAAGTGGCCCTGAGGGGCCAGAACATTCCGCCAATGGTCCAGCGAGTCCAGTTTTAACTCAAAGTGCATAGGAAAAGGCAAACATGGGGCAACCCAAAACCTCACATTAAATGTTACTTCTATTTTTCTAGAACTAGAAAGGCAAAATAGATATACAATGGATTAATGAAGGGCATGGACCAATGTTTGTGGGAAGTTTCTATTTTACAACTGTAGAAAAATATTTAAGACAGTTTAGCTGAAGCGTTTTGTACAGTCTTATACTTATTTTAAATTTTATCCATCATTCAGCAAAAAACTTCTTTGTAGTCTTTGTGTGTGTGTGCGTGTGTGTGTGTGCATGTGTGTGTGTGTGTGTGTGTGAGAGAGAGAGAGAGAGAGAGGCAGACAGACAGACAGAAACAAAGAGGCAGAGAAAGAGAGAGAGAGAGAGAGAGAGAGAGGATGATTTCAAGTAAATCTAAATGCTCTTGAGAAACTTTGCTTTTTTGGTTTTTTTTTTTTTTTAAGAAACATAACATTTAATACGGAAAATATTAACTTTGCTCAAAGGTTGTATTTTTTTAAATCATAAATTGTGTGTGCGCTCTGTGTAAGAATAACATGTACATTTCTAGAATGACCTCAAGATGGCCTCCCTGTTCTACTGAAATATATCTTATAGTTTACTTTGTTACTTCTAGAAATAGACATAAAATAGTAGGTGTGTATAGTTACTATAAGAAAGTTAACTAAATTAACATTTGGAAATCTTATATTCCATATGCTAGCATTTAGTACAATATCTCAAGCTTATTTAATCTAATTTAAAATTTCAAGAAAACCTATCTTGTTATCTTCATATGGTGTTTACGATTTTGCAACATGGATTGTTTTCTGTATAATATGTGAAATTCATTGCTTGATACTTTTGACCCAAAATTATATGTTTGTTACAATTGAATTTAAATAAACATCTTTAAACAAATGCAATTTGCATTCAATCCTTAGGACAAAAATGGAGTCATGCAAATGTAGTTGTTCTAAATATTTACATACAAAGCCTAACATAGCTATTTTTATGGAATAAGACATTGATATGAGATATATAATGCATATGAATATTTTTCATGGTAAAAATTGTCCTTGCCTTTCACTGAAGTGCATTCACTTTGAATTTCTCAAATGTTTATACTGCTTTTACCAGGAATTGATAACAACAACAATGAAATTCAATCATTATCTTTTCTTGTACATAAGTGTTCACATGTACATATATGAATTATGTAAGCAGGTATTGAAATATAGGCTTATGCAATTAACATTTGTAGAATAACTCTATAGGTTTTATTTTTTTAAAGATCTATAGTCTAATAATTGTTTGGGATCTAGAAAAAATTCAAGAAAAGGTAATAAACAAAGCTTTTTTTGAATCTGTATCAGTTTATTACATTAGTCACACACTGCCTCTAAGTTGGCTTGGTTCACTCTCCTGATTGAGTTTAAATATCTCAACAATACATCATCAATTGTTTTCGATTCAACTCACATTCGTCTTGTGTTCATCCTTCTAATTCTTTTATTATACACACAAAATTAGCACTAAGTCTTTACATTATTGTATAGTACCTTGCCATTAACATATTAAAAGAAGTGAATTTTAGAATGAAGCAATAATTTCTAACTTACATTGTTTACTTACATCTCTTTCCTTACTAATGAAAAAAAGGGGGATTAGAAATCATGAGCTACGAGCTCCAGAAACAAAGAAAACTTGCTTTCATTTCTCTCATTACTCATTCAAACAATGTGCATCGGTTTCTCCAACGGAAACTTGATCAGTCGCCATTTACTAGACAATGTAGTTAAAATTTAGAGTTCTCAAATTCAGTAGACTAGCGTCATATATGTCTATTTTTTCTGTGAACTGCTTCAAAATGCAAACAGCAAAAGTTCTAAAGTTTTAAAAAAAATTTATTTAAATATAGTGGATTTACAATGTTGTGTTAGTTTCAGGTGTGTACAGCAAACATACATATCTATCTTTTTCAGATTCTTTTCCCTTATAGGTTATTACAAGATATTGAGTATAGTTCCCTGTGCTATACAGTAAGTCCTTGTTTATCTATTTTATATAGAGTAGTGTGTATATGTTAATCCCAAACCCCTAATTTATCCCTTTCCCCACCTTTAAAAGTTCTAAATTTTAAATAATCTACAAGTAAAGTTTTTATTTAGCGGTTTCAGCTGCAAATGACATCTTCAAATGTGGATGTTGTGTGTTTTAAATGTTTATTTGCCACTGGGGTTTATCCTTTTGAGAAGACACAAAATAAATACTTAGATAATAGAGCAATGGTAATTTCTGTCAGTTTAACAGGAGCAAGCTAGAAATATTTTTCTCTTCTCTATGTGAGAAGTTGTAATAAAGGAAGTGCTGGAGGCCAGTCAGAAGGTCCATTACTCTGTGAGAATATGTATCACTCAGAAGTTGGGGTCCATTGCGTTAGAAAGTGGAATCATATGTCTATGATTTTTATCTTACAAAATAAAATAATATGTGAATTATAGACCCATGTCTATGACCACAGTTTGCATTCCTATGGAATCTGTCATGTTATATAAAAAATTCAATTTATAAAGCTTGGCACTGCTATTAGTAATGCCAAGACCTAGTCAGAAAAATTAAGCAAAAAGTTCCAACTTAATAAAGGCTGGTCCATTTTAAGAATAAGGCTTGGATTCCATTATATATTTATTAGACAGAAAGAGACTATGTTATGTTTCTTTTAGAGTTTGTTTATTTTATTTCTGGTACCAGAATTTATTGGGAGTAAAAGATATAAATACTCAGTATTCTCAAAATTCAGCTCCCAAGACATTAATATTTTACATATGACAAATGAATATTTGCAGAAAAAATATACATTTTAATATCTCTCTGCAATGGTAAAACTGTATGAAGTGATTAGCAAAATGCCTTTGCAATGATAACTTTTAAAATGTAAGCTTTTAGCTTTTACTCAGAAATCTAATACTTATACAGTGATATTTCCATATCTATTTTTGCTCTTTTCCTGCTAAAACACTGAATATGAAGTTTATTAGTTCTTATAACTAACTAGGACTGAACTTAATTTTTAATTTACACTGGAGATTTGTTATAAAATGTTCTCATAGCACTATATTAGGTCTAAGTAAGTGAGTGGTAATTGCCCTGGCTAATTGCAACATGTTTCTTGATATGAAGACCTTCGAAATGCACAACTTAAAAGAATATCTGTTCAAATGAGTAGAAAAGGCTGTGCTTTTGTCCTCTTATACAGATTTTACAGTTGGAAGGATCTGAAGTTTCTTCAAAGAGACAAGTTCAAAATTGGAATTTTTTCATTTCCTATTTCTGGTGAAAAGATTTATTCTGCTAAAGGTCCATTTTCTGTAATCGTTCTTTTGTAAACCTCTTTACATTTCTCTTTACATTTTCTCTAACCCAATCAAAGGGTATACAACCTGTATCATTTCTTTCTTTTCTTTTTTTTTCTTTAATGCATTTATTTATTTATGTTTGGCTGTCTTGGGTCTTCGTTGTTGCGCGGGGGCTTTCTCTAGTTGCGGCGAGCGGGGGCTACTCTGTTGCAGTGCACGGGCTTCTCACTGCGGTGGCTTCTCTTGTTGTAGCGCACGGGCTGTGGGCATGTGGGCTTCGGGAGTTGTGGCTCGCGGGCTCTAGAGCGCAGGCTCAGTAGTTGTGGTGCACGGGCTTAGTTGCTCCGCGGCATGTGGGATCTTCCTGGACTGGGGCTCAAACCCGTGTCAGCAGATTCTTAACCACTTGAGCCACCAGGGAAGTCCCTGTATCACTTCTTAATAAATAAAAATACTATTACTATAATAACTAACATTTATTGAGGCATAATTCATGCCAGGCATTTTATTTATTTTATCTGCATTTGTTTCTCAAGACAAATTTTATACTCTTATATCTCTATTTTATAGATGAGGAAATGAGTCTTGGAAAGGTTGGTGCCTGGCATCTTCCAACACATCTGGTAAGTGACAGACTCGATTTGCACCAGCTCTTCCTGGAACCATAGGCTGTGTTTATAACCTTCTGCTCTTCTGCCTTCCTGAGTATCAACTTTGTTCATGTGTTTTGAAAAATTAGTGGAAAAAATAGTCTAAACTTATTTTCTGTCTTTTCTTTATCCTGTAATTAAAACAAAAACAAAACCACGTGTAATATAGGCTCTCAACAACGCTGTATGATGTAGTAAGCTTAGCTGAACTCACAACATTCAAGTTATTTTACAAAAATAAACACACTCTTAAACATCCCTGGGGAAGGACTGTTCCCATAATGCATATAAACGAAGATCACCTCATTACCAAAGTGAGTGCCAGGAAATAAAACCCAACAATAAATCACAAATGTCATTGTTCCATTGTCTCTCAGTTTGGTAATCAGAACATGTTCTTACTGTTTAGATCACATTTCAGTATATTTGTCAGAGTACCCATCAATCAGATTTTGAAACACGTTAACAGGGCACCATAAAATGCAAACCACATTTATGGAGAGTATGACTCATTCTCTCTCTCTAGTGAGTGAGTCCAAGGGAGCTCAGTTCTTCTGATTTAGCTGTCCCCAAACTTAGGATGCCAGGGACCTGGAAGTGGACTTCCTATGTAAAAGAACACAGGCATTTCTCTCTAGAAAAAACAGGGCTCTCTTGACTCATATGCACCTTTTTACCTTAGTAAAAGTGGGACCTCTGGGATATTATATTTAATTTTCCAGGAAAGGAGAACTTGTTGGGCTCCATGGTAACTCTTAGGTATAACAGGCAAATCCCACTAGTAGAGGCTGATGACCTGTCAAAGAATAAAAATATGCTCTTGAAGTTTTATGCATTGTGTAATCTTACCCTGGACACTCTGTGAGGTGGGGATGAAAGTTGTCAATATTTGGGATGAAAGATGGGATGGAGTTGAGTTACCCACAGAACTTGTCCGCCATTGGTTAACACAGGCTCGATGAAGGGGTTTCCTCAAGATGTTAGATAACTGTGCACTGAGAATTTTTCCTGGTAAT